TTATCTGGCATTAAACCGATATGTAACATATTTTACTAAAATCTTCAGCCTATCGGCTTTTTTTATATCTAATCAATCGGTTTATAGCCAATAGCCTATCGGCCTGCTATCACCATAGGCGATATTAGATGATATGATGATGATATTTTTGATTTCGACCTGTAAAGCATTTCTATAAGACCTTCTCTAAATCTCCATCTAAAGAAGAACTAGTATGAACTGAATCCCTAATTGATGCCTCTATCTTCAATAAAAATGCTTCACATGAAGCCTTCTTCAAGACACAAATACACATTTCTGCCCTTGACAAGCTTGCAACTAAAGCTAAAGAAACAGTCTGTAAATTGAATTAAGTAACCTTTAGTAAAAAATAACATAGTGCCTATTTTTATAAATACCTCACATTATATCACTCAGCTTCAGCCCGCAATCATAATATCAATAACAAAACTAAAGAAGAAGCAATGGATCTAATTACAAACAATCTTATTGAATTTGATTTTCTCACTTGCATTATTAACTACTTTGATCTCATTGAAGATCCACAAGAAGACAACTCTCCATCTATGTCATCTATTACTAAATATTATTCTGAAACTGCACTTCCTCAAGCAGAAGAATTCCTTAAACAAAATTTAAAATGAACTTTTTACCTATTAATTTTGAAGATGAACTATTCTTTACTCCATCACCACCTCCTCAACAAGAACCTTCCTCTTAGCAAGAGAATTCTTCATAACAAGAACCTCCTTTTTAGGAGGAGGGTTCAGAACAATAGATTCTGAACCCCTGCTATAATAAGTTCTTATTTCATTATAAGCTTCAACTAACACCAACACCACAAACTCTAGATTCCTTTTTACAATTGCTTTAACAACTACAGTTTAAAGATAATTTAACTATTTCAGTTAATAATACTAATTCAGAAACACATATTTATCTTCCACATGATAGCAATCCTCTATCCAACTATAAAATAATTGAACAATTCAGTTTTAGTAAATATCAAGAATTATCTCTTAGATCATCATCGTTTTCTAAAGATAATATTGAGAAATATCTAATGATTCACAATCTATTCTCAACTTCTCCACACACACCAGAATCTACCTTATCCTCTATCTCTACAATAGATATTCCCTCTCTATCTATGCTATCCTCTACTAAAGCCATCTGTACTTATGAATCTGAATATATCTCAATTCCTATTAAAATTGCTTTACTTAATACAAATAGACTCTTACAACCTGCAAAAAGACTTCTTATTGAAGAAATATTAGATCAAAACTCATTTGACATATTTGGTCTCTCAGAAACATATCTACCAACCAAGATTGGTAAATTTATTAACAGTAAAACAAAACATATACCAACTTTTGGAGCTCTTATACTAACCTACATCAAGCTGGTGTTGGCCTTTTTATTTACAACAAAATATCTAAATATACATACAATTATAATGATCATATTATAGGCATTGACCTTCATTTTAAAAATACATCTTTTAAACTACTTCAAATCTATATCCTCACTGTTGAAAAAAATTACTTTGAAAAGAAATTCAAGAAAAAATCATTGCACTTTGCCAAAACTCTAAGTATAAAATCATAATTATAAGAGACTTAAATAGTGTCTCTAATCTTCATATTGACTGTAAATCTTTTAAAAAGACATCAATTCCAGAACTACAACTTATCAAATATCTAATCAGCCATCAATTTAAAGATATATATCAGTTCTTCTTCTCAAATAACCAAAACTTCACCTTTCATCACTCTAATATTTAAAGTAAAATAGATCAAATTTGGACTAATCTTAGTATCACAAATATTGACTATACAAATATTTTACCAATCAGCAACTTTGATTCAGATTATAACATTGTTACTCTCAAACTATCAATTATCATTAAAAAACCCAATTATATAAGCAACACAAAAGGAAAAATTTTTATAGAAAATTGTTCCAAAGAAATTTTAGAAAATTATGCAAACCAAACTACACTTAATTTACAAAAACTAAACTCACAAATAGACCAAATTACTAATCAAACTCAACTTAATAAGTTTGGAATCAACTACAGAAAACTCTAATTAAAGCTGCTATTAAACACATTTCTTTTATTAAAATTAAAACTATCAAAGAAATTAAAAAAACTACTTCACCAAAACAATTACTACTCTTTTACAGGTTTAAAGAAATTTAATATCTCAAAAACCATACTTCCTCTACCAACTTTTCTACACTTTGTGAAAAATATATTACTCAATACTCTGATTGTCTTTACAAACATTTACACCTACTCTACCTCAAATTAAAGAAGAATTTTATCAAATTAAAAATGCTCTCAATCTCTTACAACAACAAACAATCTATTATAAAATTCAGCAAAAAATTGAAAACCACAACCAATCTTTTTTAGAAACACCCAAACTCTTCTACAAGAAGATTCTAAAAAGATTAACAACATACACATTGATAGACTACTCCTTGAAAACTCTCTTTTAACAGAACATAACGAAATTCTTAAAGCAATTCACCACCATTTCTCAGAATATTTCAAAGAAAAACTACTTAAACCAATTCCACCTATCTCAGAATTCTATCAACTATACCAACTACATCAAGAAAATGAAAAACTCTATAATAACCTCTTTCAAAATATTACAGATCAAGAATGGCTAAATATCATAACTACTTACCTAATTAAAATGCTGCTGGTCTATCAAAAATTTGCTATGAACATATCAAACATTCTATCTCTAAGGCACAAAAACTTTTTAAAATATTTTTAATAAATGCTTCCAACTTCAAAAAGTTCTTACAGACTGGAAATCTTTTAATATATTTCTTATCCCAAAAAAATCTGACTGGGATTTTACTCTTAATTAAGTTCGGCCAATCTCTATACTTGAACCTTTCAAAAAAACCTTCACAAAAATTTTTACAAAATGGCTTGATCAAATTATTTCCCATAATTACTTCTTATCTGATCTAAACTTTGCAGCATCAAAAAACTCTTCAACTCATATTCCTATACAAATCCTTCATAATACTATTGAACATTACAAACTTCACAATAAAGAAGCATGGATTCTTTTTCAAGATATATCCAAAGCTTTTGACAAAATTAATATTACTGTCACATAGTTTCTAGACAACCCCTGAACCTGGTAAGGGGAATGCTAATTGACCATGACTTGTATACACAAGCAAGAATAACAAAAGAAGGTTGGGTAGGCTCTTCGACGGGGTCACATGATCGTATGAACGGGCAGCACTACGACGAGATTGATAGTGCGGGGTGACTTTATCAATATCACGTGGCACATGATCATCAATCGACAAAACAATAACGGTAATGCAATGTAATTAGATAATAGTTAAAATTTATTAAAGTATAAGCAAGCATGGATGATGTAATTAGATTAGAATGAATATAAATAGAGAAAATTAATAAAAATAAAGGATTGTGTTAAAGAGTAAATTGGGTGCATTTGCCTGTTAAAAGTGTTAGTGCAACGTCTCTAGAATAAAGAGACAAGTATATCTTTGAGTTAGATAACAGAAAACCAGATACTGAATAACTCTGTGATAGAGAAGGACCTGAGCAATAAACCAAATTACTCTCGCAAGGGCAGAAAAGAAAAAGTGGTCAAACACGTTAGTAAAACTGTAAAATCAAGTGAACTAATAACATACGAAAAACAAGGAAAGTACATACAAACCTTTTCAGTAATAATCGATCATGACAACACAAAACTTGACGAAACCGTTTTATCATGGTCGTGAGGATGAAGATATAGAAGACTTCTTTTTTGATTTTGAGATATACGCTGAATCGAAACAATGGGATGACAATCGTAAACTGAAAGTTGTAGGGTTACATGTCTCAGAAAAGGTGAGAGTTTGGGTGCGAAAATTGATGAAAGCCAGTACAGCATAGTCGGATTTAAAAGCTGAAATTGTAAAGGTGACCAAAACTAAGTATTATACTGAAGAAAAGATCGTTAGGCTGATGAAAATAAAACAAGAACAAGATGAATCGGTAACGGGATATACAAATAGATTTGAAACCTGTGCAGAAATTTTGAAAAATAGTGTGCGATCACGTGAAAAGCAAAAATGGTACATCGCCGGGTTAAAAAGGGAATTACAGGAGAAAATTGAGTTGAATTTTCCAGCTGATTTTGATGAAGCCAAGAATTTGGCGGTAAAGATCGAAGCGTATGGCAAAGATAATAAGTATAATACCAAAAGGGCAGCTAAAACATTGGTTGAAGAATCAAAAAGGTGCAATAATTTTGATATTGATAGTTTGACGGCCGCGATGGATAGTTTGAAAATATCTAGAGTAGACAGAGGCTCGATGACGATATCCAAGAGATTAAAGACGCTATGAAACAGTTGATGAAGGTAATTACAGATCTTGCTACCAATAGTGGACCACAACGGCGAAGTGATCAAAGTACGGGGTCTCTACGATGTTACACGTGTCATAAGAAAGGCCATATATCACGTGATTGTCTAGAAAAGGTTCTAAAAAATCAGTTTCCGAGTAAATCCGAAGATTGATGAGAAAGAGATGGCCCGAAAGATAAGAGTATTGGTCAAAAGGGATCTGATGTACGGCTTGTAGATATATTTGATAGAGAATTGAGTGGCAGTCTAGAATATCTTATGGTAGAATTAGTAGATAATGAATGTGGTGGTCAAAGAGATAATTTTAATGATATAAGGAATTTAGATAAACGAAGGCAACAAGACTAGGTTGATACTCCTAATAAGAAAGAAAGGCTACGTAAAACGGTAAATTCAAGGCAAGAAGAACCATTGGTGTCCACAAAAGACGGGAACAAAGGAACAATAATGTATATACCACTATCGGACTTGACAGAAGACCTAGATGTATTGAAGACTGTGGCTGATCTCAAAGTTGATATAACTCTTGGACAATTGTTTAAATGGTCACCAAAGGCAAGAAATGAAATTATGAAGGCTTTAGCTCGAAAAAGAAAAGACGTCGATGTGATGAATTTGGATATCAGGTTGCGATTTGTTCAGAGAAGTCGAATACCAGGAAATGGAGGTGACATTGTTCCGATATGGCCGGCATTTGTGAATAGAGAACAAGTTGACGTGCCGATTGATCCAGGTTCGCGTTTGAATTTAATGCACATTGATTACGCAAGAAAAAGGGGGTTAATCTGGCAGTGAGCCTACGGTAAAGGGAGAATGGTGGATGATAGAGTGAACGATTTTGTGGGCTATATTCCTCAAGTGAGGGTTGAAATGGAAGGAGTAATTACAAATCAAAATTTTTATGTGATGGAGTCGGCAAGTTTTGATGTTTTATTAGAGATGCCATGGTTAGCTGGTGCACAGTATAATCTTTATTGAAGAGAGAATGAATATTGGTGCAGGGTGTCGTCTGCGAATAGAAAATCATCGTTTGTAGTATTGGTGGTGCCAAGAAATTGGTTGGAAAAGAACGATGTAGACAATTCGACGACTACGATGAAGAGGATGGAGAAGAAATTAATCAAGTATCTGTTGTTAGAAGAGTTCAAGTAATAAGAAATGAAATGAAAGAATTAGAGAGAAATGAAAAAGAGTTTACCTTGTTAAGTGGATGAGAAAAATTACGGGATCTTTCTATTGGAAAAGAGAGTCGATTGGAGATTTCGAAACCTGTAATATTACGAAGATTAATCTTAGAGAATGTAAATTTGTTGAATATTGGACCTGAACTTTCGTTAGAGGAGAAACAATATGTAACGAATCGTTTAATTAAAGAAGTATCTAAAGTATTCGCTTTCGATATGTCTGAGTTGGGACGAACCAATTTGGTAGAATATGAGGTGCGAACTGGTAGCACAGAAATACTGCTTATGAGACTTAGACCAATTCAAATTAACAATCCTGAAAGAGCTCGGTTATTTGAGGAACATTTAAGAGATATGATCAAATACGGTCTATTGGAAAAGGGACATGGACCCTATGCTTATCATTGTTTCTCGGTAGATAAAAAGGAGAGCGGCACTGATCGAATACGAGCTGTAGGGAATATGAGACCGTTAAATAAGCATATTATCAAGGATAGTTATCACTTCCGATTATTAGAGATATTGGAAAAGGCGGCAGGTCACGAATGGTATTCAAGCGTCGATGCAGTCAAAGGATATTAGCAGATATGTATACAGGAGGAAGACTGGGACAAGGTGGCCATTTCAACGTCTTTAGGGTTTTACGATATACTGTGATGTGTATGGGTTTGAAAAATGCTAGTGAGACTTTTCAGAGATTGATGGATTTGATCCTAAAAGATGATGAGTGGAAGCAATTTGCCGCTGCATACCAAGACAATGTGGGACTATGGACCGATGACGACTTGGAAGATCATATAAATGTGTTTATTAAATTAGTTAGAATGTTTGAAAAGGCAGGACTCACATTCGCAGTGAAGAAATGTTTTGTGGCGTATGAAAAATTAAATATGTATGGTTTTATTGTGAGCAAAGAAGGAATAAAAGTGGATGATAAAGGTTTGAAAAAGGTGCGAGATTGGAAGGATCCGAAGAGTTCAAATGAAGTAAAGTCGTTCCACAGGACCATAGGATATTATCGGCGTTTCATAAAGAATTTCAGTAAGATTGCAAGCCCGTTGACGGACTTGATGAAGAACGATAGGGATCAAATATAGTATAGATTACTCCTTTTAAAAAACTATTTAACTTACTAATTTTATATAGTTATTTTATTGTATTTATATTATAATTAATATTCTAATCAATATTAAAAAGCCAATTTAAAAAAATATATTATAAAATATAGTAATTAATTTAAAAATTTTTAAAGATTTTATTAAGGCATAAGCTATACTATATTTGATCCAAAGATAGTGAATTTTGTTGGGCCGTTGAACAGAAGCAATCGTTTGAGAAATTAAAAGAAATATTGTTGGAGGAAGTAGTTTTAAAAGGACCTGACTGGGAAGGTGTAAAAGTGGTAAGAGACCGGATCAATTGTATACCAACGCATGTGATATTTCACTTGAGGCAGTCTTAGAACAAGCTGATGAAATGAGAAATTTAAGACCGATGACATTTGATTCAAGAAAATTAAATAGGCATGAGATTAACTATACAGTTACAGAAAAGGAATGTTTAGCAATCATTTTTGGTTGTAAAGCAAACGAACGATATGTTGGAGGTATGACGTTTAATATATGGGTTGATCATCAAGCCCTTGAGTGGTTATTTAATAAGGTAGACCTGAGAGGAAGACTAATGCGATGGGTCTTAGCGTTACAATCGTTCGAATTCCAGGTATATTATAAGAATGGCAAAAGATATGGAAATGCAGATAGAATGTTGAGATATCCAATAGATCATATGATAGAAGATAAGGACGATGATGAGTTTATCGATGGAATGATTATGCACGTGGATAGACTCAATAATAGAAAGCAAGATCTGATTTGGATAAAAGAATTTCTGACAAGTTTCGTTTGGACACGTGATGTGAAAGCTGGGAATTTACCGCGATTATAATAGAAAATGAAATGCTATTGTATAATTGGAGAATATTTGTTTAAGAGGAGTAGAGGTGGTGTTCCACCAAAACGAGTGATCTTTGACGTGACGAAAAGAATTGAATTTTGGTGGCAAATCATCGTGGATTAGCTGATGAAGAAGGATATCGTGGAATTAATGGGACGGCGAGAAAAATTTTGATGAATTATTGCTGGGCTTCTGGTAATGTGTATGAAGACGCAGAAAAATATGTAAAATCTTGTATAGAGTGCCAGAAATGTGCACCAAAATCAATTAAAGAGCCACTTCACGTGACCGCTACTAGTTGGATTTTTCACAAATTATATATAGACTGTTTGGGGCCGCTGCCTAGAACAACTGGCGGTCACGAACATGTTGTACTAGCAGTTGAGGAGTTAACTGGATATATAGAAGGAAAGGTGTTAAGAAGGAAGAATGCAAATGTGATTGCTCAGTTTATATGGGATGAAGTCATCACGAGACACAGATGTTTTGCGATTCTGGTTTCGGATAGGGGCACAGAATTTAAAAACAATATACTAGAAGAGTTGTTGACACGATTGAACGTTGATCAACGATTTGTAGCAAGTTATCATCCAGAAGCCAACGGTTGGGCAGAACGTACTGTACAAAAGTTTACGAGGATTATTAGAAAGATATGTGCTGAAAAACAGAATAAATGGTACGAATATGTAAGAAGTGCAATTTGGGCTATTAATGTTACTGTTAATGATTTAGGGTATTCTCCTTTTCGGTTGGTTTACGGACGGGATGCTATTATGCCAATTCAATTAATGTTGGAAAGTTATCAAGTGTATGTTGCGAGAGGAGAATGGTCGACAGATGATTTGTTGGAATATCGTACAAAACAAATAAAAGGGATGGTAGAGGATTTAAGAAATGTGCAAATTGAGAAGGACAAAATAAGGCAACGATGAAAAGAAATACACGATCAAAAATCGAAGAAGAAAGAGACTTACCAGAGTGGTGATTTAGTTTTGGTGTACGATTCGACATTGGAAACGATGTCCCGAAAATTGGATTATCATTGGATGGGTCCTTATAAAATTCGAAAGATTGGAAGATTTGGTCAAGTATATTTGAATGAATTAGATGGTTGTGAATTAAGGGATCCAATAACAAGGAATAGGGTCAAGAAACTTTTTACCTGGAATGAAGATTCACCTGATCATAGCGATCAAAGATGGTGCCAAAATGACGTGGACCTCGAGGACGAGGACCAGAAGGGGTCTAGCTCATGTCATATAGTTTCTAGACAACTCCTGAATCTGATAAGGGGAATGCTAATTGACCATAACTTGTATACACAAGCAAGAATAACAAAAGAAGGTTGGGTAGGCTCTTCGATAGGGGCACATAATCATATGAATGGGCAGCACTACGATGTTATTGATAGTGCGGGGTGACTTTATCGAGATCACGTGGCACATGATCATCAATCGACGAAACAATAACGGTAATGCATTGTAATTAGATAATAGTTAAAAGTTTATTAAAGTATAAGCAAGCATGGATGATGTAATTAGATTAGAATGAATATAAATAGAGAAAATTAATAAAAATAAAGGATTGTGTTAAAGAGTAAATTGGGTGCATTTGCCTATTAAAAGTGTTAGTGCAACGTCTCTAAAATAAAGGGACAAGTATACCTTTGAGTTAGATAACAGAAAACCGGATACTGAATAATCCCGTGATAATTACCCATCTCCAAAATACTTGCAAAAGAATTGGTATTCCTCCCTCAGAAATTAACCTAATTACTGAATTACACACCTCTATACAAGCAAGAATTATCACAGCTTATGGCCTTACTCCTTCATTTAATATCAAGCAGGAATCGAACAAGAAGAAACCTATTCACTACTACTCTGAAAAATTTATTATGATCCTATACTTTCCTTCATCTATCAAAAATATCAACATAAGATGCAAATCACTAACTCTTCACGACGATTACTTGTACCAAGTTTTCTCTAAAAACAACTGCACTTTTCTCAATATTTTATTAAGTAAACACATTTTGGCTGTCTAAATAAAATTGTTTCTGACAAAAAAACTCTTTCCATCAATCAATTACACAAAACTTAACTAAAAATTTGCCAGTCAAAAATTGTTAATAACACAATATTTAATTAAGACAACTGCCCTTAGCATCTTAAATAAAACTGCTCAGCTCAAAATTTTGAAAACTCG